GTCAGCTGTCGGCCCCCTGCTCGTGTCGCTCTCTGGCGCACGAGACCGTCCTCTGGCACCACCGACTTGGTCACCCGTCCGTGCAGCGCCTTCGTGCCATGCACAAACGGTACCTTGTCTCTGGTCTTCCCAGGGTTCTCCCTCCCCTCCCACCCTCGCCTGCTCCTCCCTGTCTTCCCTGTGTCGAGGGGGCGGCAGCGCGCCGCTCCTCACTCCTCCTCGTTTCCCCCGACGACTGCTCCCTTGCAGACGCTCCACATGGACGTGTGGGGCCCAGCCCGCGTCCGTGGTCAGGGTCAGGAGAGGTACTTCCTGATAGTTGTTGACGACTACTCGCGCTACACCACGGTCTTCCCCTTGCGCACCAAGGGTGAGGTCCCTGATGTTTTGATCCCTTGGATCAGCGCTTCTCGTCTCCAGCTCAGCGAGCGTTTCCACTCGGACTTTCCTGTCCTGCGCTTGCACTCTGACAGAGGTGGTGAGTTCTCCTCCGATCTCTTGGCAGCCTACTGTGCGGAGCACGGCATCCGCCAGTCGTTCACGCTTCCGGCCCTCTCCACAGCAGAATGGGGTTGCTGAGCGCCGCATTGGCTTGGTCATGGAGGTCGCTCGTACCTCCTTGATCCATGCGGCTGCCCCCCACTTTCTGTGGCCGTTTGCAGTCCGATACGCTGCGCATCAGCTCAACCTCTGGCCCCGTGTCTCCGTTCCGGAGACTTCGCCGACACTGCGTTGGACGGGAGAGGTTGGCGATGCGTTCACGCTTTCGGGTCTGGGGATCTCGAGCTTTTGTCCGCGATACGTCTGCGGACAAGCTCTCCTCCCGTGCTGTTCCTTGTGTCTTCCTTGGCTTTGTCCCGGACGCGTCTGGTTGGCAGTTTTACCACCCCACCTCGCGCCGTGTCTTGCCTTCTCAGGACGTCACTTTCGACGAGTCCGTCCCCTACTACCGCCTCTTCCCCTACCGCACCGCCCCGCTCCCCCCCCCGCCTCTCTTCCTCGCGCCAGGTGCTGCTTGTGGTAGACCCCCTCCCCCCTCAGGAGTGCCGCTCCCTCAGGTGTTGTTCCCAGGTAGACCCGGTCGAGGTAGCTGTGACTCTCGTCCTGCTAGGGGTGCTGAGCCTGAGGGTGCGGAAGCCTGGGGGTGCGGAGCCTGGGGTTGCGGAGTCTGGGGGTGCTGAGCCTGGGGGTGCGGAGCCTGGGGGTGCTGAGCCTGGGGTGTGCGGAGCCTGCGGGTGCTGAGTCTGGGGTGCTGAGTCTGGAGGTGCTGAGCCTGGGAGTGCTACACCTGGAGGAGCTCTCTCCTCACAGCAGCTGCGTGAGTGTTACTTATAGTACTGCAGCCTCAGGAGAGGTGCTTCTGGAGCTAGGAGTGCGGCTGGAGCTGGTGCTAGTGCTTCCCCCTCCTAGGCGGGAGCTGCCTTCTCCCCAGCGGCTCCGAGAGTGGTACGCACGGCGCTGCAGTCTCCGGAGTGGCGCTCCTTAGTGTCGCGGACCCAGCTGCTGGAGGTGCTGCTGCTCGCGGTGCTTCTGGCGCTGCTGGTGGTACTGCCTGCTGGATGCTGCTGGAGGTGCTGCTGGTGCTGGGGCTACTGGAGCTGCTGGAGGTACTGCTTCTTATGGAGGTGCTACTGGTGCTGCGGACCCTGGAGTTGGAGCTGCTGCTGGTGCTGAGGACCCGGGCGTTGGAGCTGCTGCTGGTGCTGCGGACCCGGGCGTTGGAGCTGCTGCTGGTGCTGCGGACCCTGGAGTCGGCGCTGCTGCTGGTGCTGCGGACCCTGGAGTTGGAGTTGCTGCTGGTGCTGAGGACACCTGGAGGTGGTGCTGCTACTGGTGCTGAGGACCCTGGCGCTGGTGTCTCTGCTGGTTCTGGAGACGCTGCGCGCCGGGCCGCGGCCGTACTTCGTTCCGCTCCTTCAGCAGGTTCTTGGTCAGCCTCCTCCTCCTTGTCCTCCTCCCTCCTTAGAGTGTCCTCCGTCTGTCCAGTCGCTAGTCACAGTTACCGTCTGCCTCCCCTCTCCCTTGTCCTTCTCCTTACACTGGTCCGACTGGAGGTCTTACGGAGCGTCGTGAGCCTAAGTCTCGTCCTGCGTCGCCTGAGTCTCGTCGAGCGTCGCCTGTACGTGCTGCTCACACTGGTCGTCGTGTCCCGCGTCAGCGTCCTCCTGCTGTCCCAGGCATCACCAGATGGCGCTTCGTCCTTCCACTACTCCCCAGCGTGTCCCTCTCCCGTCTCCTCCTGCGTCCTCTCTTCCTGCTCTTGCTGACCCCTGAGTCTGACTCCCTTCGTGCTACCAGTCCTACTGTCACGCGTCTCCTGGCTACTGTTGTCACTGACCCTTCCTTTGAGTCCACTGCTGCGTCTGCCTTAGTTGCTGAGCTTGTCGACTTTGCTGCCGCTTGTCGTCTAGACTACGCCGCTAGCCTAGTTGCTGAGTCTGAGTCTGTCTGTCCTCCGTCCGTCGGGGGGTGAGTGTGCTCTTGGCACGGACGTCCTTGAGGACAGGCAGGAGAGGAGTTTGAGGCTTTGCCGCTGCTTTACCTCATCTCGTGTCCATGCTAGTTGCCCCTGAGGGAGACCCGGATGCACCAGACATCCCGACTCCGTGCTCTTACGCAGAGGCGATAGAGGGTCCCTACTCCTCTCAGTGGCAGACAGCCATGGACGCAGAGATGGCTTCCTGGAAGTCCACAGGCACCTACGTCGACGAGGTTCCCCCACCTGGGGCGAACATCGTCAGTGGCATGTGGATTTTCAGGGTGAAGCGGCCGCCGGGTTCTCCGCCTGTCTTCAAGGCGCGTTACGTTGCACGAGGCTTCAGTCAGCGAGAGGGAGTTGACTTCTTCCAGACCTTCTCCCTGACCCCGAAGATGACCACTCTTCGGGTTCTGCTGCACGTCGCCGCTCAGCGTGACTACGAGCTCCACTCTCTTGACTTCAGCACTGCTTTCCTACAGGGCAGCCTGCACGAGGAGATCTGGTTGCGCCGCCCACCTGGCTTCACTGGGTCGTTCCCTCCTGGTACCCAGTGGAGCCTCCGGCGGCCCAGTCTACGGTCTCCGACAGGCGCCACGTGAGTGGCACGACACACTGAGGACTACACTTGCGGCTCTTGGGTTCGCTCCTTCCACTGCTGACCCGTCGCTGTTTCTACGCACCGACACCTCACTGCCGCCGTTCTACATCCTCGTGTACGTCGACGACTTGGTCTTTGCCACTGCTGACACTGTCGCACTCGCCCACGTGAAGTCGGAGCTGCAGAAGAGACACACGTGCACAGACCTGGGTGAACTGACAAGCTATCTTGGCTTGCGGATCACCCGGGACAGAGCACAGCGCACCATCACCTTGACTCAGTCACACATGGTGCAGCAGGTCCTTCAGCGCTTCCGCTTCACGTACTCCTCGCCTCAGCCCACTCCTCTGCCCTACCGGTCACTCGCTCTCAACTCTGCCTTCGGATGAGTCCGTAGAGCCGAGTGGCCCGTATCCAGAGCTTGTGGGCTGCCTCATGTACCTGATGACCTGCACTCGACCTGACCTTGCATACCCTCTTAGCATCCTTGCACGCTATGTCGCTCCTGGCCGTCACCGGAAGGAGCACATGGATGCCGCTAAGAGGGTGTGCGCTACTGTGCAGTACGTCGGGCATGGGGCTAGTGCTTGGAGGACGAGACCGAGTTGTACTCACTGGGCACTCAGACGCTTCTTGGGCTGACGACCAGGCTATCTCAGCGGTCGTCTCAGGGTTACACCTTCAGCCTTGGCTCTGGTTCAGTTTCTTGGCGTTCTACACGCTCGTCTTCTGTTCTCAGCTCCAGTTGTGAGGCTGAGATCTACGCCACAGCCATGGCTGCCCAGGAGTTACGCTGGCTCACCTACCTGTTGACCGACTTGGGAGAGCGGCCTCGTTCTCCTCCAGTGCCTGTACGTCGACAACAAGGCTGCCATTGCCTTGTGTGAGGAGCACAGACTGGAGCACAGAACGAAGCCTATCGCTCTGCGCTACTTCCTTGCTCGAGAGCTGCAGCCAGCCCGCGGTCAGCTTCGTCTGCGTTACGTGGCCACTCGGGGCCAACACTGCTGATGTGTTCACCGAGGCGCTTCAGCCTTGTGACCATCAGCGCTTCTGTACTGTTCTAGGCCTTGTGCCTACTGGGCCTCACTTGCTTACTTCTTGACTCTACTTGTACTGTGATCTCTATATATATAACCCTATTCTAGATTCTAACAATAACATCGCATTCAGGGTCCATAGGCCGCGTACTCTGTATTGACAGGGTCCGTGAAAACCCTACACTGAGAGTGTACACAAAACTTCAGGGTCCACTAAAGCAATACTCTGAATGGATCAGGGACCAAATGTGAAAAACCTGGTTTCTCAGGGACCAGGAAGTGACAAGTCTGAAATCACCCTGAAATCAGGGTAATTACCCTGATAAAATCAGCCTCTGAGGGCCTGGTCTTTTGGACACAAATATCAATGTTGGATGATTTTTTCAAGTGTTATTTTTAACCTATTTCAACACCTCTCAGAATATAGGCATTTTTAGGAAAGATAATTGTGATGATAAACACGATATAACCAAGAAGCGAATGTTATTTTTCAATGTAAATAACTCACAAATCAACTCCTCGATTTTCAAAACCCTGCACCTTTCTGGTTATATATCACACTGATTGTTTTATCACAAGTGTAGCTCCCTCTCTGGCATCTGGTCCGACAAGCTCTCGCCTGCGATCGTCTAAAACGCTGCTAACGAAATTGGCGACAGCTCACAATCTTCGTGGTTCATATGTTCGAAATATATGAACCGCTACAAAACCTTGCCTACACCTGCCCTGCCATTTATGAGAGCCGCCAGTTGTTTTTTTTGGCAGAACCTGGTCTAGACCCGTCTAGGGCCCCGAACCGCGCTCACAGCGGAAACTCGTGAAACCAACCCTAAGTACCATATACGAGCAGTATACTCCCGTACCCAGCCGTAGCTTTCTTCCGATGGACGACGGATTAACGAACGCGTCGCGTGCGTTCGCAGCACAGAACGGCGTGGGCGCGAAAGGTGACCACGACGATGGCGACGCGGATGATGTGATTGTAACGGTGGACCCTCTCCGTGTGAAGCGCGCGTGCGGCAGATGGACGTCACCGGCAGCGAGGACCACGTGCTGTACGTGCCACGTCACCCTCTTCCCTCTTTCCCCCCGCTTCTCCCCCCTCCCCACAACACGTACTGTACGTGCCACGTCCTCCTCTCCCAATCCTTTCCCACCACGTGTTGCAATACGACACTCACCAAGCGTACAGATAGCGTCCATTCGCCCTTCCCACCGTCGGCTGCTCAGCTCTCTTCATCTCTCCATGCCCTATCGCCAAGGATCGCCTTTTCCTGCATCCATCACTCTCCCCACACTCTCCTCCTTCCTCTTCCCCGCATCCCTCCCCCCACCCCCCACCCCGTCCTTCCCCCGCCCTCCCCCAGCGACCCGCCCGAGGGAGAGCGCATGCTGGCGCTTCTGGCGCAGCTGGACAGTGCGCGCGCGCGCGCAGCACAGAGGAAGGGCGCGCGGGGGGGGAAGGGGGGCCGGAAACGGCGGGACAGGGGGGAGGCGGATGGGGATGCTGGCGGGGACGAGAATGAACGGGAGAAGGGGAGGAAAGGGGAGGGAGGGGGAGGGAGGACTTGAAAGGAGGTGGGGGAAAGGCAGCAGCGCAGGGGGAGCTGGGGGGAAGGCAGTGGCGGAGGCACATGGGGAGTGGGCGTGGCAGGGGGTGATGTCACAGCTGACGTCAGCACAGGAGGAGCTGAGGGTGATAGTGGATCTGGTGAATGCGGTTGAGAGCGGTGCAGAGGGGCTGGCTGTGAGTGGCGTGTCGAAGCCAAAGCAGCATGCAGCAGAGATGAGCTCCGAGCTCACAGCCCGGCTGGCAGGCAAACTCACGCTGACGCTGAGGTGGGTACAGTGCGGTTCAGTGTGGTGGGCGTGAGTCAGGCAGTGTGGTGAGAGGTGGTGGGGC